GATACCGTTAGCAAAATTGCTTTCAGGCTTGATAAATCACTTTGCGAGTGCTAAATTAATATATTTACATGTTCTCCTCCCACTAAACGCCCCATATTGCATATTCATTGCAGAAAAAGTACTAAATGGAATAGAGGCGCTGTTTAGCACGTTTTAAAGACCAAATCCTTTTAGCACGCTGTTGATAGATCAGTTTGTACATTTTTTAGCGTGCGCAGTGAAGTAGCTCACGTTTTTATACACGCAAACCTTTGATAGATCCGGCCCTATGTTGTCTAAACCTGAATACAGTGAAACTCTGACTTTTCCGGTTCACAAAGAGATTTTATTCATCCTCTGTTTCAGTCACAGTAGTAACATTTTCCTAGAGCTAACCTGGTCAGCAGCAGGTTTTCTTCAGTAAACTCAGAGTGTCTCTGCTCTCCTTACGGCCAATCACACTGTTTTATTACCTGATTTAATCATTTTTTTCATCGTTTTGTGCATAAAAATATATATATATATATATAATTTACTAGGTCTGTGAGACACATTAGCTTTTACATTTACAACATTGCAAATTCCTTTGATGAGGATCTTAATTATGGCAGTGCATTTTATTATTTAGGGACAGGATTCTACAACCCAGTTGACAGGATATGAGATTTATTTGTTTTTTGTTTGTTTAATATGAGCACGATTTGGATAATTTTTTTTATTTTCTAATATTTACAGTGCTTGAAGTACTACTGACATTATTTTCAGATTGGACATAAGGAATTACTTCAGGGTTAGGGAACCCATGAGATGATGCACAGGTTCTATATATGAGAACAACGGTTTTAGACTTCCTCTTCACCTGCTGCCAGAAGATTTCACCTAAATAGATACGTTGATCTACTACCAATCAAGAAATAATCCCGTGATATAATTGTGGTAACAACTACTATGGCAAGCCGTTGTGATATATAGTAGTTTTGCTGAATATGTATTTCTAATATCTGGGGGAAAAAATCAGGATAACGATTCTGGATATCTTTAAATTGATTTGGGATCTTCCAAATACTACTGGTCAGCATTTGCATCATTTTAACCATGAACATTTTTTTTTCAGATATCATAAATACATTTTCAGACAAGCTGATAAATGTCAGAATGGCCACTTAAAATAGGTAAACATTTCTATGTATAAAACTCAATTCTTACTAGTATAATTTTGTTTTTTTACTTTCTTAAGTACCTGTTGAATCGGAGCTCCACTGATAATAGCTTTTCATACTTGTTGTGCATGTGCTTAACTCTGAGTGGACGTAGTTAAAATTGATTAACTAATTGTTCGCAGTCGTTGTGAAAACAAACACTCAAGAGTTTCCGACTTCCTATCAAGACCAAAAAAATAACAACTTAGATCCTGAATTTCTGTATGAAGGTTTCTCCATGGTTATTTGAAGAGGTTGATGTAGATTTGCATCTCCTTAAAGTAAAGCAGAGAGCAACCATTGATAAGAATAAGGTTATTGGTTACTTAGGAAAACAATACAAAGACTTCAGATATTTTCAAACGCGTCAAAAAGTCAGATGAGGAGTTGCTCTTGTTATCCCGGATCTAAATATTGTATAAAATTATCGACCCAGTGATAATTTGTCTGTTTATACAGGAGAGGTAGTGGCATTAATGCTGACACTACAATAGGTAGAAGAAAATCTGTCTCAGTTATTGTTTGTTCAGATTCTAGCAGGGCTCTGATTAATATTAAGGAAATGTATTTAGAATATAGAAAAGATCTTACTTTTGATATGTGTTACCAGAATAAAAAGTTATGGGATGCAGGTTGCTTTGTTATCGGGTTCCAGCACACATAGGAGTGGAGGGGAATGAGCTGGCAGACTTCTATGCTAAAAAAAAAAAAAGCAGCACAAAAGAACCAAGTGGACATCAGCATTTAATACAGTTGTTTAAGATAGGCTCTGTGTCTGCACCTTGAAGCTCTCTCTCTCTGGTTCTTTTTCCTGAAAAGAGATCACTCGGGACAAACTCTTTAAATAACACTTCATAACTTATATGTACTGAAAAACCATTAGACATGACAACAGATTCTGATAGAAATGGTCATCTTGATCAACATATTCCCATTATCAGTTCGTATGAAATCGTACGAAAAGTTATGCACAGTGTTATGCACAGTATTTCGTACGTTTTTGACATTTTTCCTCGAAAAAACATATTGGTGTGCATGCGCAACCAGACAGACGAAAAAAACAGATCAGCGGACGGACGTAAAACTGGGACGGACAGTGCAATAATTACTTCATGATGTCTCTCACTAGGTTGCTTGCTGTTTTGTATGTTAGGGTTAGGGTTCATTGTATGTTGTTGAATGGTGCGTAAGACGTACAAATACGACGAAAAAAAACGTCAAAAACCTACGAAATACTGTGCATAACTTTTCGTACGATTTCATACGAACTGATAATGAGAATACACTGTCTTGATTGGCAGCTGCATACTCCCGGGCTCACCTCTCAGGAAGTGGCCCCAATTAATAGTTAAAGAGACATTTTATACATCTCCAGTCTGCCACATCATCACATTTTACATTACTATAGATGAGGAGACATCCATGGCTCCAGCCTTATCAAACTATTACACTTTGTTCTTGGCTGAAAGACGCCGCTCTCTCGTTCCATTTCCAAATATTTGCCACGCACAGAAATGAAGATTATAACTGTATATCCAGACAGAGGAACTGTCTTAATTACATAAACTACTGAGGAAAACATCACTTCTGACACGCAACAGGCAGGTATTATGAAGGTGTAATAAACTCATACATTAATGACAATTATCCTAACACAATAAAGCAGAAATTAAATCTATAGTAAAAAGGTGGCTAGTCAAAGGTGGCAGAAGAATGGGACGGAGAACATAAAGGAAGACATTTATATAGAATTCAAAAGGTCAATCAAGCAAGGAAGACAAGTAGAAATAGAATAGAAGAGGATGTTATAACAAGGAAACATGTAACAGGGAACTGTGATTACTGTGATGAGCTGGAAGATTTAGAACATGTGCTGATTCAGTAGAGCCAATATCAACAATGGAGAGATGTACTTAGGAATAAATTTGATCAAGAGAATGTATACTTTAAGGTTTTCAGAAGTCTGTTTATCTTGTTTTTAGACACTCTTTTGGCTTTACCCATTATTCTTTTCAAAAACAGTCACAAACCTTTGATTCATGGAGTCATCTGGTTCATCTGTTGATGATCGTTCAGGTCTGTCGTTATTCGTTCTTTTGTAAAACCTTTAGCCGTTCAGCGTAGTTTCTTCACGTGGACCGACAGCAGAATGGTTATGATGAAAGAAAACTCTAGAATAATCCTCTCCTTAAATGTTCAATCTGTAATCAAACTGAACTAATGTTCACAGATTTATTTCATCCCATCAGAGCTTCAGCTTTTCTGCAAAATGGCCTTTAGATTGTTTGTGCTAATTTGAGGGCAACACCAATTATTGAAGATCCTCTGCCTCTTTTTTACACTTAACATTAACGCCCATAGTGCCTGATGTTTTTATTTCCTTTGCTTTTAGTTTGTTTTGATTTAATGTTGTTTTATTTTTTTTTATTTTTTAAACAAGTGCACATTTTGTCTGTTGATTTGTGGACTCCGTTGCAAATGAAATGCCCATTAAAAAAATAAAAAGATGATAAATTATTTAAATTCAATTTTATACAGAATTCCCACCTTTGCTGCCATCTGCTGGTCGGTTCCAATAAAGCAGACACTTACTCAACCACTGTTCCTGTGCAACTATATAAAGACTTAGAGAAGAAGACAAACTTTTCTCCACTTTTTAAACATTCATGCTAACTGTTTAAGTTATGTATGATCTATCAAGTCAAACAAACATGTAATCCACTAAACAAAGCAGGCATATTATAACTGAGGGCTGATTTAGAGTCACGCCTTTCACATCTACCAGAGCTGGAGTCAGCAGAGTACCAGCCCACATCAGGACCATGTGGACACATATTCCTGACATGTTTCCTTTCTTTCTGCTCTCTGTGAAAATGTGGCTCCTCAGCTTGGCTCAGTGGCTCAGCCTCAGATGGATAATGATTTTTACTTTCGCAGTCCTCCTCTTGGTCAACCTGCTCATCAAAAGGGATCCACCTCACTTTCCACCAGGACCACCGGCTCTTCCTTTTTTTGGGAATGTATTCAGCATCGAATCTAAGCAGCCTCATATTTACCTCACTAAGGTCAGTTTGTAGATTTAAGTAAAAAAAAAAAAAAAAATGGTAATCCAACATTTTAGCAGAATTAAAGTTTCTAAATGTTTGGTGATTTCTTAGACATACTCGAGTCCAAAAATGTGAAAAATTTGATGACTGGTCCTGGTGCCAACAACACATGGACTATGCATTATTGTAGAGTCATATGCTCCACAATGGAGCCCTTATCCTTTGCTTCTACAATCACAGCTTGCTGATCTTTATGGGAACATTTTCTGCATACGTCTGGGAAGACACAAAACCGTGTTCTTGTCTGGGTGGAAGATGGTGAGAGAGGCTTTAGTGATACAGGCTGAAAACTTTGCGGACCGGCCTTACAGCCCCATGGTGACCCGGATTTACTCAGGAAACTCAGGTAAGTCAAGTTGACCAGACCTGAAGGATGATCACAACCAATAGTTGAGGGGTGTTTGATTTCTCCACCTTTTTCAGGAGGTCTTTTCTTCAGTAATGGGAAGGTATGGAGGAGGCAGCGACGCTTTGCTATGGCCATGTTGCATACATTTGGCATGTCCAAGGGATCCATGGAGGAGAACATCCGTCAGGAGAGTCGACATCTACGGGAGGCGATGGAGAAGGAGGAAGGTAGAAAGCTGCAGAAAACAGATCAGACTGTAGCTTCATGTCACTTTCTTTGTTTAAAGACTCTTGTCCTCCTGTCAGGTAAGCCCTTTGACCCGGTGCCACTCCTGGACAACGCTGTTTCCAACATAATCTGCCAGATCGTGTTTGGGAGAAGATTTGACTACAGTGACGAGGAGCTGCAGAGCATGTTGAGAAATCTGACAGACATGGCCTACCTTGAAGGTTCAATATGGGCTCTAGTAAGACACAAAGAAAAAAAATCCTTTTTTGCACTTGATTCCATCAATGGGTGTTTGTTTTCTCTTTATACTCAAAGACAGTTTATATGTTTTAAAGTCTTGATTTTCTTCTGTTAACAGCTTTATGATGCTTTCCCGGGATTGATGAGACTCTTGCCAGGGCCTCACAATGGGATTTTTAGCAGCTCTAGGTCTTTAAAGGCATCAATCAGGAAAGAAATAGAAAGACACAAGTTGGAATTGGATCCAAACAAACCACGAGATTATATTGACAGCTTCCTTATCGAGGAAAGAGTATGCATCACTTCAGTTCATTGGAAATGTTAAAAACGGGGGTAGAAATGTCACACATAAGACCCGTTAGCATGTTTGTCTCTACTTTGACAGCGTGACAGAAAGCAGGACATGGGCTTTGTAGAAGAAAACCTGGTGCTGTGCTGTCTGGATCTGTTCTTGGCTGGCAGTGAAACCACTTCAAAGACTCTGCAGTGGGGACTAATCTACCTTATAAACAATCCTCCCATACAGGGTGAGCTCAGATTAGGACAGTTCTTACAAGAAGAACGGACTAAATTACTATACCGAGGGAATCTCCTGCTTATTAGTCCCTAATGGATATGATTTGCCTGCAGAGAAAGTCCAGGAAGAGATAGACAGAGTGGTTGGACAGAAGCGTCAGCCCACAATGGCGGACAGATCTAACATGCCCTTCACTGATGCAGTCATCCACGAGATCCAGAGGATGGGAAACATCGTTCCCCTCAACGGGCTCCGGATGGCTGCCAGAGACACAACCCTAGGTGGTTACTTCATACCAAAGGTGCATCCCATCTTCCCCCAGAACACTCCTGCAGAATGTTCTCTTCCTCTGCTCAATGCTGGCCTTACGGCTGTCTCTCCGTGTCTGCAGGGGACGGCTGTGATGCCTAACCTGACCTCTGTTCTTTTTGATAAGAACGAATGGGAAACTCCTGACAGCTTCAACCCCAAACACTTCCTGGATGATGACGGCAGCTTCAGGAGGAGGGACGCCTTCCTACCTTTCTCTGCTGGTAGTAAATTCATTTAAGCAATAAGTCTGCACACATTTAAAAAAAAAACTACTCTAATTTAGAACTAGGGGATGATGGAGGTACCCTTTTCCCTTCTCTTCTAAGGAAAGCGAGCATGTCTTGGCGAGGGTCTGGCAAGAATGGAACTCTTCCTGTTTTTTGTCGGGTTGTTCCAGAAGTTTCACTTTGCTACCCAGGATGGAGTGGAGCTGAGATACGAAGGAATAACCGGAGCCACACGTACACCGTACCCATTTAAGATCTTTGCAAAATCCCGCTTTCCTTTGCAGAACATAAGAAACGCAATATAAGCTGCAGGATAGACGACAAGCTCTTTGTTAACAACACATATCTGTTGTTAATGTGGCAGAATCAGGAGTTTTTTAACCAGATGATGGATAAGATGAAGCATTGTCATGTTCGCACAAAATTACTGATTTGTTACCTGTCCAAAACTAGACGCTAAACCTGCAAACATACATGTACCAGTGTTAATTACCGGTATTACTAATAGCCACCCTTCACTTCCATTAATTTTATTCCTAGAGCTTTTGGACATTAATCATAGATTTCATGGTTGAATCTGTCTGACTGGAATCTTTTCATTATTCATTATTGTAAACAGAAAATGCTGAATTACATGATGACAACAGCAAATATACATTTTTCCATGAACAGTTTCCGTCTGAGAAAACAGATGAAGATTTCTCTGACAAAAAAAGGATACATGCAGTTTTACAAAACAAATTTATTTAGAGAACAAAAACTTCCAATTTCTGAATTCCATTAAACATTTATTTAATAAATTACAAACAAACATTTAGCATAATGCAGGCTGTTGTTCTACCCTTGATTGTACCTTGTTTTATTTTTATAATCAGCAATTTTCAAGAAAAATAAAGAGGATCAGGAGACATAGATCTCTAAATCATGTGGTCATATTACAGCAGATCTCTGAGGCGCAGCTCACAGCATATAGAGTGAAAAGGCAAGAACACGCCAAACCTGAACAGCTTGCAATGACTTGTAGAAGCTTTCATTCACTTTATTAAATCCACAAACATTTTACTCAGGACTTTTTGTGAAAGGAGCAACATAAAATAAAGCATTAATATAAAGCGGAAGTATTAGCACACATACAAAATAAGCTTAAAAAAGTGGGGAAAGCATTTATTCACTGCTTTACCCATAACCCCAAATAGAATCCAGCCTCGCTATCAGTCCTTTATGCATGATAGAGGTGGTGTTAGCCTGTAAAACCCCATGTTTGGCGTACAACTCACCATCAACGTTACAAAGTAGTGGTGGCAGCACCATGCTGTGGGGTTACATTTACCTGCAGGTTTAAATGCTGCTAAACGTAGGGCGATCCTGGCAGAGAAGGACTTCAGACTGAGGACCAGGTTTTCCTTTTAGCAGGAAAGTAAACCTAAACCTACATTCAGAGCAGTGATTAAATGGTTTGGGTTCACGCCTTAGAGCGTTCAACCTAGAAACGACCACAACCAGATGGAAATCCCACCGATGGTTCGGCAGGAATGGAAGCATTTGCAGTCTATACCTTACAGATGTTGTAAAAATTTAAAAGTTAGAAATAATTTCTCTTTTTAATTAACAATAAAGCTCTATGTTACGATGGCCCATCACAAAAAGTCACAATAAAATCACATTGAACATGAAAAAAAAAACACATAAATACACTAATGTTTCCTGTTTATATTGAACAGCCAGGTGGTAGATTAATAAGCTTTAGTGTGAATGTCTAACTTTATTTAAAAATAATCAACATTCTTAGATAAAACTTTGACTACAATTATTAAAACCTTTCTGTTTGTGATTGTTGTTTTTAAAAGCTGGTGTTGAATCATTCATTTTTCTATTAATAACTATTACACATAAGAATCAGGATATACAGCAAACAAAAAGAGCCTCTCAGCTCCAGTTTAAAGCAGATGGAGAAAAATGACTATTCTGATTTCATTCATTTTTTTTTTATTTTGTCATTGATGTGAATGAGTCTTCAATTTTAAGGAAAAAGAAAACAAACTGGCAGCGCTTGTTGCTAAATGCTTAGAAGTCCTTGGTGGCCCGCACCAGATATGGCTGGATTTAAGATTATTTATTCTGCTGGATTGCGTGTGCAGCGTTATGGTGCATTTCTTAAGTATTTACACATAAAATCTGATTGGCTTCGCAACTTAAATGTCACTCTAAAGCAAAACTAAAACTATAATAGACTTCATTTCTAAAAGTACTTTGTTCCAAACATGTAGACAGTGATAGAAAATCTACATCTGGCTTTGGCTTGTGAGGTGGAGTCTGGGGTGAAGTCCTTCAGGCTGAAGCACGGCAGGGTATAACCTCACTGCTTCTACCTTAGACAGGTACCCGTCTGATCAGTGCTCACTGATCCCACGCAGTGCGATCCACCTCAAAGGCAGACAGCAGATGTGTTTAAGGTCACTTGGGTGCTCATAATGCGTGTTTTTGCCTTGTTTAACTGATGTGACACAGTCTACTTGGAGGTAGTGGTGGGAGCGCTGATGGAGGAATCCCTGCGCGGGGCGTTTGAGACTTGCCTCTGCTGCGTCAGAAAGGACTGGCCAGGGGAGAACATGGAGGCAGCGCGGCCTCCGAGGCGGGATTCCATGGCCAACTTCTGAAAGCCCAAACTCTGAGAGCAAAGAAAGCAATGGCAGACATTGTTTTAGTAGAGATACACAAGTATGAACATTGTTGCTAATTTCTGCAGATCCTGCTTTTATAAAATGCAACTTCTGGTACCAATTTTAACCAAGTCTGTTTTCTTATTGGGGGATTTAGGATTAGGCAATACCAGGCAGTTGCCTAGGGGGCCCATAAAACTGTGTTTACCACTATTCCTTATTTGTTCACATTAATTATGTTTTTGATAAAAAAAATCCTTTTAGCTATAATGCCATCAGAAGGTTTATAATATGATGGACCCCTTCAGTGTCCACCATATTGGATCAGTCCATTTGCTGCACATGTTCTGGAGACTTTGGCGAAAACATCTAAAAGCAGCGAACTCTGCTCTCCAGAGCAAGTAGATTGGTAAC